AAAAAGCAAACATTTCTCCTTATAAACTTATTAGTTTGTGATATATGCTGCCATTAAAAACACACTTAATTCTTGTTTGACGAATTTAAACATGGAGAAAACCGAATATATCATGTTGAACCAGAAGAGGTCAGGACAAAAGTTGTTATCAAATTTGCTAAAAGCTAACCTTACTGACAGTGTTTCATAAGGACATGACCCTTCTGTGCACATTTTTACACCCATCACTGAAAAGACGACTGTAAGCACACACCGCCTGTTGCAAACCAACTAGTTGTCCCAGGGCAAACAGTGTGTGTCACATTGTACATGATAGAGCGATTGTTAGTAAAAAGCAAATCAGCGGTTCTGTTGAATATGTATCTGCATCAGTCAATCGCTCCTGTTTATGCAACAAGGGTTCCTGTTCATGTTTATTCATACGCTGATTAACTCTGCAACTGCTGTTTCTGCTGTGCTTCCAATTAGCATTTTGTGTGAGGTAACATCTCAGTAAGTTAGATGTATGTGCGGCGAGCAACTGCTTTTAATTCCACTGAAAGGCTAAGTGTGGGATAATCCTGTCGGCCGCGTTGCACCATATGGGGATGTTTGGAAAACAAACAAGCTGTTAAAAAAAGAGTGAGTGTGTAATTGCAGGACAGGTGGTGTGGTCAGCATGGAGCAGGTAGGTGCGTGGGCAGGACTTTGCGTCCTGCTGCTACTCTGATTGGACAGCGATGTCCTTGCCTAAAGCCTGTGACCCTGTCCGGTATCAATAACGCACAAACAGCTTGGAATATTATGAATGACTAATGAGAGAAATGACTTTACAGACTGTTTAAAATGCTCCTGGAAATGATTGTGCACAAACTGCATCCCCTTTCAACAGAACTTTTCTTTGTATTCTTATAAAACTTCATGGTAGTCTCGAAAGATGCTGTTCTAAAGCAAAAACTAGAAACCCTAAAAGGATCTTCTGACATAAAGCATTTAAGAATCTACAAATAAACAACACATAGGCACATGTAATCAGAAACAGAGCAAGCCTTTCTTTGTGTTGTGTAATAAATACAGGTTGAATACACTGATCTGGCCCCCTAGAACAGGGGAACTATGGGGGGGGGGGGGGGGGGACCCATAACCTTGTCTGTTCAGAGATTGTGAAAATTTAAATGTATTGAAAACAAGTTCATTTGAAAACTCTGATTAACACAGTTCTTTTTTTTTCTTTTCCAAATAAAAGTTTGCTGCTATTTACTTTATTTTGTTGTATTTTTTGATAAATATATAAAGGTTGAACGTGTATTTGGGAGAGGTGGGGTGCAGCGTGGGATCTGAAAGTAAGAAATGGGGACTTTAAGGAAACTTGGCTGGGACCCATTGCTCTAGAGCAGGGTTGTCAAACTCATTTTCACCAAGGGCCACATGAGCATTATGGTGGCCCTCGAAGGGCCAGTTGTAATTTACTTTGATGTTTCATGTTTACCTTCATCTAAAAAAGAAACGTCATGTTCCTCATCTCATTGCTACGGCTGAGCTCTAACAAACAATAACTGAGCTCTACGTGGTGTTTCCTGCATAGAAACAACGTTTTAACACATCCTTCTATCAACACTGTATGACTGACTAAATGTGAAATAAATAATACAGAAATATTATAAATGAAAGTATAAGAGTTTTACTCACTGATGAGTTTTGGTGAGTAGCAGCCATCTTAAATTCTGAAATCTCCCACTTTCTAACAGGGAATTCCCACTGGAGGAGCATTCCACTTTAAATGTATGACTTGTAAGTGGGAAGTTCCCACTTCACAGTACAAATAGGCTGTAGCAGATGTAGCTAGCAAGAAAACAGCTAAATGTAAATTTTACATGGCCAACTGCAGGCTATTTTTGAACTCTGTGCAGCTCCACCTAGTGATGGGATGTCGTAATTTGGCAGGTAAAATAATCATGTATTATGGGAGGTATAGTTTATGGTCAATGCTGGCTTTAAAGCATCATATGTTTATTTTAAAGCCATTAATACATCTTTGATGCTCTTGGGGGCCACATAAAATATTGCGGAGGGCCACATTTGGCCCGCGGGCCTTGAGTTTGACACATGTGCTCTAGAGAAACTGTTGCTCAGCTCTCTTCTAGATTTCAGTGAAAGAACTAAGATAATTATCAATATATTTTTAAAATGTGATATTTTATTTATAATACAATATATTTACTTTTATTAGAACATACAAGATAAAATTCATAGAACTTTATTTAAAGGAAAACTATGGTCTGCTGCTTTGGAGACAAAGCCTGAAAATAACTGCATAATTTGTGCGAAGAAGGATGAATTTAAAAAAAGATTTTTACAATTAGAACCCAATATATGCATCAGCCTCAAGACAAAAGAAAAGGCCAGTGTGTCTTCATGTAGCACTGTCACTTATGGGAAATTTTCTGGTCTAACATAAGAAAACAACTGTTATTTTCTCTGTTTATGCATTTTAAATTTCTGTTTTCCAGGAATACTGGGAGAAAGTGCTGCTGACTCATCCTGTAGCCGGGGGTGTAGAGTGATTTCATGTCTCATGTAACTCCTCTTGTTTAATAATTCCAGCAGAGCTGACGTGAGCTGGCGAGTGGTTTCTGCTCCGTGGAGGTGACCTTTTTTTTCTGTGCAGTATCTGACAGCAAATCCTTTTAAACACTTTTGATCATTTAAAGTTTTGGTTAATTGTTTTTCTTGAAAAGGTGGGTGAAATTAAATGCAATGTGGTGTGATGATGTTCGCTCTTTGAGCCTAAGTAAAAAAAGGGATAACAGAAATCTAAGAGAATACTTTATGCAAGTTGTATGAATAAAATATTGATAAAATGACATTTTCCCATGCACTGTCGATGTTTTCTCTGACATCAGTTTGATAAAAATGCAAGTAAGCAAGTTCTGATACTAAATGTTAACTGCAAAATTATTAAACCCCCAAATCAAACATTATATACACAAACATAAGCATCTGCAATTTGTGTTAAAATTTAATAAATATTTTATATAAGGAATAAAAAAACATTTACAAAAACAGATAGAAAATGAAAATGTGAACAGAAAAAGGTAAAAAAAAGAGACATTTCCTCTGTTTATGTGTCAAATAACTGGACAGCTGATTGTTACTTGCAAGGTCCAGTTTATTGTATTTTTTAGAAGGTAATTACTTAAAGTACGTTTCACAATAAAACCACATTGACAAACACAAAGTGCACAATGAAGCATGAAGAAAACAAAAACGGGAAAATCTTATTGCTTTGCATAACAAGAACACACAGTAACACAGTCAGAGAGCGATAAAGTACAAATAATTTCCCACAAACTCCAATCGGAAAACCAAGAATTATGTGTCGTTCAAATTCAACAATTACTGTAAAAATAAAGTCTTTCACTAAAACTGATTAACAGTTGCATGCAAAAAAGCCAATAAAAAAAATCTAGAAACAAATGTAGCAAATGCAAAAATGTTTTCTAGAATGTAGAACAATTCTCTAAAACTCACTAAACACACAATTTGCCCAGATGACACGTCAAACCTGTAAAATACACTCAGCACCTGTTGCTTGGTAACCAACAGATGTGTGTGCTTTTTCTTACTGGTAACAATAGCAATTTGTGGGATAAAAAAATGTAATGCACTGTGTGAGGGATTTCATTTGCATCAGTTACTGACTACTGATCTTGTCCAACATTTATACACAAAATTATACAAAAAATGTAAAATTCTGACACAAGGGAAGAGGATGGGGTTTATAGCTGTGTTCAGAGAACGTCTGAGTTGCTGTGAGTGTTCCCAGAGAGCACAAAAATCAGTAAAAGATGCTTTTGGAACCCGTGTGAAGGAAGACCTGGAGCCGCCTATTAAAACCCAGTATGAGTGTTTACTTAGGTATTTCTGTCCATGTAACTGGTCCAGGTATCCTCCATTGCCCACAGCAGTGTTAATATTCTGCAAGCACAGGGTGCGGCCAAACCCCATTAATCATGTTTGTGAATGTCTAATCTCAACATTACTTGCACTGGTTTCATTTTCATGGCTGTCTGCAAGATTTATAATGGCGTTTTGAGAGGGTATATGTGCTAGTTGTGTGCACGCTTGTGTGTGTGTGTGCTCGAGTTGGATCTAATGCACTGTTACGGAAGCGTGCTCTCAAATGTGTCACCTTGTTGAGGTGAAGAATGCTCTAAACTTGCAGTTATTGCCTTTTGTATGAGACACAGGGGCGGCAGCGTGTTGACACGCAAATTGGCTTTAAACGTGTTTTGTGTTTATCTGTACTTCGAATTAGCGCCTGCAATTATTAGTTGTAGCAAATTTGTGCGAGTACAGGTAATTGTTTTCTGTGTGTGTGTATGTGTGTCTGAGTGCACTAACATGTACTAAGGGCTTGACCTGGTTATCTTCCGTTACCATGGTGACAATAAGGAGCCTTTCAAAAGATGTCTAAACGGACGATGAGGTCAGATCGTATCGGTGAAGACAAGGAGGAGAAACAAACACCAGGATGAGTAAAGTAAGGGACACATAAAAAGGATGCAGGAGGATGTGGGGCTGAACCTTGGGGGCTTAGAGTCTACCAAAAGGCTCATCAAACACACAAAGGCTCATCGCATGTCCAAACACAAACATGTACACATGTACAAAACAGCAGACACCGAGATGATTATCTTTAAAGCATCAGATTCTTTGACCTGTTAATACTGACAAACAGTTAAGCCTGAACCAAAACACTAAGTGGATGTGTTTTGTGGTGCACTGACAGTCAACAAGTGCTAAAGGACCAGCAGCTCTCTTTCTCTGGCTGACTGCTTGGAAACCTGAATGAGACACTGATTTCACACCAACAAACTGATGATCAGGGCTGAGAGCATTTTTAGAAACACAAGACTTGTTGGATAAATCATTAATTTCAGACTTTAAAACTACACTTTATTGACTTTTTTCCAACAATTTCCTGACCACCAAAATAAACTAATAAAAAACAAGTTTACCTTCATATTCATCATCACAACTGGTGTAATCTTCAGACTCTTCAGTGCATGTAGTGTCAGCTATAAAGTACAGTATTTAGATGAATCAATATAGAAATGTTAAAATGCAACTTAAGCACAACTTTACAATTCTGAACAATTATTACCAGAATGCTAACAAACAATTTGTGCACAATCAGATTGTTTTTAACACTATAACACTATCTGCTACTGCCGCTACATCTAACTGGTTAGTTCTATGGACAATCTAAGGAAGACAACACATTTCTTAGAATCTGAGTTGTAATTGCCCACTGTCAAAACAACTAGTATATTCAAACAATAAACTAGATAAATTAGAGAGAAACCTTTCAGTCAGCTGAATTAAATTCTCAACAGCCAGACAGAAAAAACAAAATCATAAATGCTGAAAGTTAGTCCACAACAGTACATGCGGGATTATTTTTTAACTTGCAGTGAACAAAAACAAATGGATGCTATTTCAAAGCTACTGGAAAATAATGAATATCTGTTTAGTGACGTTACAGGATTCTGAATGAATAGGGCCAACTCTGGGTTTAACCTAAAGGGAAAATGTGATGGAAATAGTTGCTACAATGATCTACTGTGTTTACCATCTGAGTCCAGACAGCCATCTGTTGCAGTCAGTGAATATAAATACAAAACATTATTCTTTAATAAAATCTTTAATTTTTTAATTAATTATGTTGAAAAAAATATAGCATATATTATACACACACATTTCACTGAAAATGTACTACAACTTTCTTTTAACAACTGTTGTAGGAATACCAACAAAATAAAATAAAATCAGGAAGCCGAGACAGTGTTTATGCCAATAGTGCTGAAAGTCCATTCACAACCTGCTCAGTAGACATATTTGTGTGGTAACACAGACATCTTTTGGTTGAGAAAACAAGCTGCAAACTAAATAAAAGTGTAATGCTATAGTATTTAGATTTACATTTAGGAAATGTAGTGTTCTTCCACATCTTGTTTTATAAACCTGAGAAATGTTTTTGAAGAATGGGTCCTTGTTTGGCTAGCCATTAGCCTAGCATGGACAAAAATCTCTATTTTCACCTATGCCTAATATCACAGCTTATATGAGACCTATTTAAAAAAAAATCACCTCAAAATCACCAGCCTACCTATTTAATCATTTTTACTAAAATATTTCTTTTCTTCATCTTTTATAAATTTGATTCAAACTACCTAAATAAATTTCTAAACTTCTGTTTTACTTTGCAGAAAATTTTCAAAGAAAGACGCTGAGTTTTATGATAAAACCAAATTAAGAAGTCTAATAGCTTTCAAGATGTTATTAAGAGGCTAATTAAATTAAGCATATAAAAAGGGTTTCAGCATTTATATTTGTTAAATCGCTCATGCAGTCAAAACTAAAATAAATATTGTAAATTTCTTGTTGACATAAGGTCACTGATTTCACGTCCATTAAGATGCACACACTTGTTTTTTCTGAGAATTTGGACACCACTTTAACACAGCTTTTTTACACAATTAAATGGGAATAACAGTTGATTTGCAGATCTTACTTGACCATATGGTTACTTACTTTACTGTAAATCTGTAGTATTTTGACTAAACAATTTGACAGACATTTACTTGGAAAAGGAAAGCGTAGAAATATAGAGAAACATACTAAATATTACTCTTTGTCTTATTTGAATACTTATGTAAATATTGATGCTAATCCAAATATGAGACACCCACAGACAGACATCATGTAGTCAGATTTACCCAGTCTGATCTCATTGTAGAGAGGCTCCTCTGGTGTAGCTGGTGATAAACAGGGGTGTACACACATCAAGAAAAAAAAAGAGGCAGATGAGTTTTTAAGCGGCTCTGTGTTAAGGGGGTTGGGGGTGCTGCACACAATATAAACTAGTCTAGACCTGGGGTTCTCTAGAACAACTAAAGTCTTTAGACATGTTATATTTTACTGACATCTTAACCAACTTGCCATTTCAGTATGACTAATGAAAGGTCAATAGAATAACCCTGCTTATCTTTTCTAATCAATTTCTGCTAAGAAAACATTTATTCAAGACAACAATTTTTAAGAGAAAGTTGCTCAATCGCTAATAATGAAGAGTCCTACCAGAATAAATGTATAGCAGATTTAATGCATCAAGATCTTGATTATCTAGTCTTTATGTAAGTGTTTTCTCCAACAAATTGTTTCTGGGATCATTTAAAAAAAGTTTATTTATTTATTTCATAGCAAGACTTTTACATAAAGCATGAACTCTTACGGCCTTAAACTGCTCAACAACCAGTTGACGTGATGCATTTCCCAATTTATATCCCCAAACTACAGCGGTGTGATGAATGCAATAGTAATGGTTATGGTGGTCAGTGTGGCATAACAAGGGCAGATGGTTTACTTGGCTGGATAGTGATGCTGGCAGTCATAACACTGTTTCCTAAATGTGTCAACATAAGAAAACTGCAAAAATACAGAGTGCTCATGTTAGTGGCATGGGTTCAGGGTCAGTTGCACTGACCGAAAAGCCGCTTGACAGTAATACATTCAATAGTTGGGAGAATGTGGGGCTGCTGGGAAGAACAATTGTGTCAACATCAGGAAGCATCACTGATTTAGACAAGACCATATAATCTGGTTTTCTTCAGCAAAAAAATACTCTGAACTGAACAGTTTGATTGGTTGTTATTTGGTTTTTGCAACTATTCAGCAAATGACAACATTTCTTACCTGAACCAGACAAAATGCAACAATAAAACCAACAATAGGAGATCTCTCGATAAGGATTAGAAAAGCAGGAAGACGCGACGTGCAACAGAAAAGTAAATCATTAGTTATATTTTGCACAAAGTCCAAATTGAAATTCCAAACAGGCCCTTAAGCTGTACTTCCTGTCCCTCTGTGTTGCTGAAAAGAACATAAGAGGTCTCAGCATGAGTGCAGCCACTTTCTCTCAGGCCTTTCTAAGGACAGGAGGGAACTGTTTCCATTAAGCTAATGTGGATTTGATCCTTGGTGATGCATGTGAAGTGGCAGAATGTAGGGTGTGGGGTCAATGTGGAACTGGGTGTCTGTGGACAGGTGATAAGAGGTAAGTGCAGGGAGAAAACAAGTTGAGTATTCGGTGAAGAAGCACTCTAAGCAAGCCAAAAATAAATAAACACACACACATTATATGTATGCATGCCAACAACCAAAAGCACACAGGACCTGTTTGAATTTACAAGGTCTCTCCTTGCAGTGATCAGTGCTTTGGAGTGAGAGTGTGCACACCTCGAGTGGATTCAAACAGAACCAAATCTAAAAACTGCTTCACTGTATGTACAGGGATAACACACTGAGGTGTGGGAAGGATTCAGGTTGAGGAGAGTATTTTGGAGTTTACCTTCTACGTCATTACTGTCAAAGTCTGGAGTGTAGCATGGATGGAGACAAAAGCACACACAAACACATGAAAGCAAAGCCAATGCAAACGGCTGAAAACAGCACATTTAAACCATCAGTGAAATGAGAATTCATAACGTCGACCTCAAACGTCAGTTACACAACATTTAGGTTTGAATACAGTTACTTAGCAGCCAACAGCAAAGTGAAGTGTTGGAGTGGTCTGTAGCTGAGACATGAGAAAAAAAAATTACATTTTTAAATTCTGCAACAACCACAAGCTGTAATAAAGTGTCCAGGAGATCCTAAATACGAGCACTGATGATGGACATTAGCTCAAAAGCTACAACATGCATGATGTCAACAGTAGCAATGGGCAGTATGGATAATTTCAACGCTGAATTGAATGAGGTAAACAAATCAAATAAAGAATGAAGCAGCATCGTAAATGGCAGCAAACATACCTTTGACACGTTCTCCACGGTTCAGCTGGATTTCTCCCTCCCCCTGCGGGGTGTAGGGCTTGACCACGATGAAGGTACGTCCTGGGACAGCACTGTAGAGTTTCCGTTTGGGCCCACGGGGGCCTATCAGTGCTGGAGGGGTGTGATGAGGTGGGCTTGGGTCCCGCTGCACTGAGCCAGGGCTGTAAACAAACACATATGTTACTGTGGTGATTCCAGGGAGCTGGTAGCTGAAGCCTGTTGTCACCGACATGGTAGTCAGTGGGACAGCGACCTGGTGACACCCCCTGGTTGTTATGGTGGCCAAGGACGGATTCATTGACAAGCTAGAGCACCTGTCAGTCAACAATCAGTGATCCACTGGAAAGTCATGAGAGGATAATGAACTCCTCCCAGCCACTCTTTTCCTCGACCAGTTCTTCCTTCAACAGCAAAGACAATATCCTTGCTGTCTTTTACCTTCTCCTTTTATCTGGCCCCACTCTTGCATCCTATTCGAGGTAGAAGAAGAAATATACTTTTGTAGAAGAACCAGTCCGGGTTCCTTTCCTCTGTGGATTCATCAGGTCCGACTCGTAGCCCCCCTTAGTCAAACACATCCTGAGTTTGGGCACCAGCACAAGTCCTTTCTAGAGACAAACAGAAATTCCCAGAACACCCTCCGCTCCAGATGCTCAAGGCTGGGCTACAGATCTCGCCTTGTCCTTTGGTCCTGGTTCTCCTGACGGGGAGGAGAGGTTAGGTCTGCTCCCCACTTCCCGCTCCCTCTCCCAGGAGTCCCGCGGCGTCTGCCTCTCCTCTCTCCTACACCCCTCACACATAGGCTCACACACACTCTGCTGCTGCGCTCCGTGGCTGCCCTCCGTTTTGACGACTCTCTCACACTCACACACCACAAGCCCTCTATGTGCATTCTAGCTGTGCACACGGGCACAAACACAGACAGCCCCCCACCCCCCTCACGCCTGCTAACATTGCACCTTCACAAGCATGGTGATCGCAGCCACCAGCATGTCGCTAACACATCGCTGACACACACAAGTCCCGGAATACGATTGATCTCCTTCTGCCTGAGATCGTGCATGCGCCATAGCTCCCTCAGGCAGGCTGTGCGAGTATGTGTGTGTGCGTGTGTGTGTGTGTGCATGCGTCTGTATGTACACTTGTGTGCAACTGGGAAGCGGGAGGGTGGGGGTGCAAAAGCTTCAGCCCATTTGGTTTAATTGTCGCTCCTGACTCATTCTCTTTGCCTCGAATCCCTTTCATCTCTACCTCGCTCCCTCACTTCCATTTCACCCCTATACTTTCCGACTCCCTCTCTACATTTCTCCACACTGCATCTTCATTCTCTTTCCTTCTTTCTATCTAGCGATGATTTCTAATACAGCAGCAGCAGAGCTCCGCCTAGTCTTCATTCATCATCACCGCCGCTTTGTAAGTTGCATTCAGCACCATTCTGCTGCTTGTGTTAAGAAAGGTTCCTCTCGAGCATCTTTTAAACACACGTCAAAAACACGTTTGATACTAAAATAGTACTCAAATACATCTTTAACCAAGACAGATGTTTATACTAGTGTTGGTCTATTCTGAGAACTGTGTGTCTTGAACACATTTACAGACAGTAAATTGTTCATTTGTTTATGATTCAGCTGATTTCAGTCTCATGTTTCCTCTTTTCTTTGACAAACCCTTCTGTCATTTTGGTAATTTTGCAAAGGATTTCATACAATTGCTCTATTTCTTTTCAAATATTCATTTCTTCTTTTTTTGCTTTCCTGACTTCTTCAAGCCACCCACTCTCCCTTTCGAAACAAGCGTTTGCTGACAACTTTTCGATTACAGAAGGATCTGGATCTGGCATATTAATGTCTGAAGCACAGCATAAACCATCAGCTGCCATATATCAAGTTGTGAGAGGGTTAGGGAAGCAAAATGACAAGGGTACACTTTTCAAAAATACTTTATTAGTCACAACTTTGTAAAAGCCTGTTAGGGGGTCTTTCTTCATCAGAACTACAGTACCTCATTTTTTTGGGGAAAAAGATTTTTGGTTCAAGGATTTTGCTTCTACTTGATAGCATCAAACAGCTACTATCAAATATTGGGCAACAGCTGTAAGTGGCAGTAATTATACGTTGCACAAATAATGAGAAAATTTATGTTTGATAATTTTTTTCTTTGTTGTAACAGTGCTTCTTGGCAGTACCGATGGAAAGCCAGCTAATAGGGTAGACCGAGTATATTTGAGACGTGTATGGTTGAGACACCATCAATATCTTCTGTTCGCAGCAAGCCTTAGTTGTGATTTTTGCTGTGCACATGTGTATTAGTGTCCTCTTTGATAGTGGAAAATTTGAACACCATGAAAAGCGCCACTACAAAGTTATCTACAAAATTATTATTCTTTTGGCAGGCTAGATTTTGACTTTACCGTGTCCCTTCTGCAGTGAATATCTTATTACCCTTAAATGACATCTAAATGTAACTTGAATATATGCAAACATTAGTTTGTCCCCTAAAAGACAACACACTTCATGACATCATGGTATTAACGATCATTACATAATCCAGTGAAATGTGAAACATGGTCACTGGGATACAGTTGAGACAAACTGTCTCAACTGTATCCATCGTTGATTTGCATGGTGTTTAGCAGCAATAGTTTAAGTATGTTCATTCATTCATTTGAATTTAATAGACCTTAAATAAGCTATTATCTGAATGCAAACCATTCATATGAACTGTAGAATATTTAGTAATACCAATATACTATAAAAGTATATTAATAATCAACAAATTATAATGTTATCTTTTAAATATTTAATTTGTTTTGCTGTTTTTTTGCATTTTAACCTATGCTAGAGTCAATGTAAATAAAAGAAATGCATTATTTAAGTATATAATGCTGATAATTATTTTTTATATGCGGTTTATTACATTGGCAATGATTGACTTGTTAGCTTTCCAGCATTTTGAATGGTGTCTCAACTGTACCCTTAAGTTTTTTATATGAGTACAGTTGAGACAAAAAATAACTCTTTGTTTTTTATTAATTATGAAAAATATAAACAACTTAGAGCTATTATTTCTTGGTTATATTGTAGTTAACATATAAAATATATATTATGTAAAAAATGTTTTCTTTTCAGTATGTTTTTAGTGTCTAACTTTTTTGAGGAAATGGGAAAAGCAAAAACTGTCTCAACTGTACTCAGTCTACCCTACACCTTTAAAATGAAGCCACATTTGTAAGGAACATGCATTTGTGAGATGAGCAGTAGAGCTGAATAGGTGGGTTGCACACATGATAAATTTTCCAAATCTTCTCTGACAAACAACTTATTTTGCTGTTGCTATTGCTGATTGCTCTGAGCTTCTGGTACCCCATGGTGCTGCCAATCAGGTGCCCAGTATAAGATTTATTGCCAAGAAGCATTGTTACAACAAAGAAATAATTTACCATACACAAATGTCCTTACTTTTTGTGCTGAGTTTAGTTCCCTTCATGCATCACTATGAGAACTGATAACCAAAGAAGCCATTTAAGAACAATGAACTCTTTTTTTGGCACAAGTTTTGGTATGTTGTTCAATATAAAAACTTAAAGAATGAAAGAGAGATGCACATGATTGGAGGCAATAATTCAGCAGACCAGGGCTACTCCAAAGACATCTTTCTCCACACTCCCCACAGCAGGTGAAATATCAGTGTCTCACTAAAACAGCAGGTTTTAGCAAATGGAAATCAGCTTATCATTTATAAACAGCCATCCTATGATTAAAAAAAACATAAACAAGTATTGTTCTATATTCTTTAGAATCAGTGTTATTTTTGATCATGTCAACATGACTTAATATATTAAATATCTATCACATGATGATCAATTTAAACTTTACAGTGTTTTTGGTTTAAATGTATTATTTTACACTTAGAGATTGTTCTATTGATTGTTCTTATAAAATCTGTGGTTCCCAATCATTTTAGCTTCAGACCTAAAAAATGATACTGACAAAAGCTTGTGACCCCGTTTACTGCCAGTTACACACAAACTGGAGAAAAACAAGTCAGAGGAATCTCGGATGGGGATCTGTAACAATGCACAAAGCAGGTATACTAGTTCCAGTGTCTTTATACGCAACCTGCAGAGGAACTCAAGCCATGTATTATCAATAACTTAAAAAAATACCTTAAAATGTAAATAAATCAAAATATACAGTATAATGGTAATACTCATAAACTTGACTTTTTGTTTGATTTTACTGAATTTTTTTTTTTAAAAAGACTTAAGGGATTTTGGTACTTCAAAGTTATGAGTTAAAAATTGCTACTTATGACAAAACGTACATAATCTATAATTAGGAACACTAAGCCTACAAAAGTTTTCTGAATATTTAATAATGAGTCTCAGTCTGTTGGTTTATTTTATGAAATAAATTTAAAGATACACCTGAAAATGTCACTCAATGCCATTTTCACAGATGGCATCAAATTAAGCTGCTCGAGTGAAGCGTTTTTACGCATGACTGCCCCTTGCCTTCTCAGGTAAATGGGTTTTTCCTCAAATAGCCCTGCTCTCTGAGGTGAGATGTGCAGTAATAATCAGTATCACACTTTGCATCGTAATGATCATCAGTCTGCCCTTGCCTTGCTTGAAAGCGTCTGTGCTCTTGTTTTTATCCTACCAAATGTGGGAATGTTTATGGTTATTAAGAAGAAAATACCTCCCACTAGCCAATGTCCTTTCTTATGGCATAAATATCCTAAAATGTGTGATGTCAAAGGAGGGTTTTCAACTGTGCCATTTGATGACAAGGCAAAAGTGGCTTAGATAGCATCTACACTCCTAATCTTTAGTGGCAAATGTCAATTGACTGTTGAAATAACATTTAAAGTATCTTAGCTGCAAAGCACTCCATGGCCTTAATTAGGCTAAATGAGATCTTACAAAGCCTTTTAAAATGTTTTCATGGCTGTTTGTAAGAAACTATGAAATCAAAGTTCTGCCCTTCTTCACATCCAAAAAAATAAAAAATAAAATTAAATGAAAAATTAAACTTTTTGGACTTTCTCATCCTCACTTGCAAAAGTGTCTTCATATGAGGCTTTCATTTAAAGTGTGTGTGTGTGTGTGTGTGTGTGTGTGTGTGTGTGTGTGTGTGT